ATCAGTGTGCTTTTCACTAACTAAACTTTTGACTATTTGAGCGTTCGTCCGAGGATGTCTGAATGCAGCAAAGCTAGCAATTAATATTCGACGTATATTTTTAGATGTCGAACATAATGACAAATGACTCAACTTATTTGACATCATATGATAAATATTGTTACGATGTCATTCTATTGTATTTATATTGAGAAAATGACTTACTCGTGTTCTTAAGTTATCATATGCATTAATTTTTAGTTCTTGGATCTTAGCTCTAACTGAAAAAGAGTCTAATATCTTTCGAGTTAAGAATGGAAGCATTAAACAACGTTATTAATGGGATCAATGCCTCAGTAAATCTTGAGTTTATACAAGTTTATGAATCCTAACCAAACTATTCTCACGATGTATTAAATATGCCTTTTAAATTTTTGAATATTTATGTGATAGATTAAATTGTGCTCCACGACAAGTAAGAAGGTGTTAAAATCTCTTCATTCTGTGGAGGATGAATAATGTATTAGCAAATGATTAAAATTTTCTTTTTAAATACTTTTTCATAAATAATATTATTATTTTTGTAAAAGATGAAGTGTTATTAGATTTTCTTGCAAATGGGTGACCATTTGGGCCTCGTATGATCAGAAAAGTGTTAAAGGAAAACGTGGGTCAAGTTTGGTTTGCAACGAAAATGAAATTGACAAAATACAGTTAAAAATAGACACGAATATTTACGTGGTTCACCCAATTTAGGCTGCATTTACAAGACAGTAGGAGAATTACAGTAATACCCTCTAAATACAAGGAGAGAATAAAAATTAATCTCTCTTGTAATATAGGAATGTTCAGGAGAAAATATTTTCTATCTCTATAATTTTATGTATCTCTCTACTCACCATTTTCTCTCTACAATTGTTGCTACTGCACTGCAATGCATTTTTGCTTCAACTCATCCCGTATTTATAGTGAATTTGGTCATCTACCATATTAATTTTGCTTCAAAAAGGTCAACAATAGCATCTGATTTTCTCTCCTGAATTATTTGTAAACAAATGCAATTTTCTCAATTTAACATTTAATGGAAATGTGGCCATGACGAGAAAAATTTGCATGCATTTGCCCAAGTCAACAATTGCCGCACACATCCCAACAAAAAGTAACAATGGGATCCTGGTTTGGGCTCCATTAAATGTGTAAAATCACTACCGTGTGCAAAGGGGTGATGAATAATAATACACTTGTTGAAAATTTATTCGGATTCCCTATAAAGGAAATTAGGTACACATGATTTTGTTTTGACAAACAATCTCACTATTACTTTTTTAAATTCTTAAATCTTGTTTTGGCACAATTTTTTTCGAAAAGTTAAAAATAAAATAAAACCGTAGACCTCATAAATGCATGGTTAAAATTGATTTTGATAAAATAAAAATCTAGAAAAATATATACAAATAATTTAAAATATTGCTTTTTTAACTAGTTACAAACACACTAATACAAGCTGGAATTGATTTGCAGTAAATTGCGAAATAGTGACCGAATGGTTTCATTACAAAGCTTGGTAGATCAACAACGATGGGAAAACATTAGGATCTAAAGGATATGTTAGTATTGGTTCAACGCGATAGTGGCGCGTGACGATGAGAGTAGCGGCAACTAGGGTTTCGTTGGAAGTGATTACGATTTTTTGGGTGATGTGGTTCAAGCCGATTTAAACTGCGCGATTTATGGTGGATATGTTGATGGTGTTCAGATTTGTTGGAGGTGATTTGTTGGTGATGGTAGCGTACTTAGGTGAGAGCAGTGGCGGCTAAGGTTTGGTTGTATGTGATTTTCAGGATCTATGTGGTATGGTTTTGGTTTGTTTTAGGTGCATGATTTATGATGGAGATGGATCCAAATCTAGTGGGGATAGGCAGTGATTGTTATGGTGGTGAGGTGACGATCTGGTCACAATGGTGATATTTTTTTGGTAAAGCTATGTTTTGATGGTCTAGTGGTGATGATGGAGCAAACGGTGGCGAATGGTGCATATTGAGGTGTAACACTATATTTTACAAGCGGTGGTGATGACGACTACAGCGTAACAAGGTATGTTATAAATGATGATAGTGGTCGTGTAACATTGCGTGTTACAATTGTAATATAGATTGTTACAAATGGTTGTGGTGGTGGTGGTTTCGACGTCGATGGTGGAAAAAAGAAACGAAATGAGAGTAACACAAAATGTAATGTGAAAAAAATTATAAGAAAAACCAACATTTTGGTTAAGAAAAGGTTAAAAACTTTCGCTTCTTATAAATTTGATCCATACAAATTTGACCTAGTTGGATAGCTGTGTGTCATGGATAGGGAATGGATGACTTCAGACTTGCCCAACACAATTTATACATAAATAGTTGGGCCCAGTCTCGGACTGATAATTTTGCCCTCTGTTGTTGGGCTAGCGGGTTGGAATAGGCTACAACACATGGGCTGGAATGTAGCCATCAAAATTTTGCAAATTGAACACAGGTCGCCCATTTTCAGGACCACACTTGTTAAAGGCACAATGGCGTGTGATGTTGATACTATTGGTATACCGTAACTAACATTTAACTTCTTTTTCTTAGTACAATATAAAGTACGTACGGTCTACATTATCAAGCTAGCGGCAAATGCATCGTTTTAGACTATCATAGGTTTTAAATTTTGAAAACAGAAATGTTTCTCTAATGTTAATGACTGAATAGATGGCTCCAAAACTCATGGGGTTTTTCTGCGAATATTTTATATGTTCGTGACTAGATTATAAGCTCTAATCTAGGTTATTGTTTTTGGTGTTAGGAGGACGTATATTCCTAGACCTGTTTTTCTGGGGTATGCCCCAATGATCTTGTACTTTATTTTTACACTTTGGATATAATATACTTACCTTATTCAAAAAAAAATAAATAAATAAAAAAAATTGGGACGTGAATGCCATCCTTTAAATAGTATGAGCACTGGATATATATATATATATATAT